GACCCTAGGTTTCCCTTACTGGCGTCGGGCGGCCCTCGCCCGACGCCGGTGAGGGCGGCCTCTGCCTGAGGCCAGCAACCTCCGCCGGCCCCGGCTATAGTCGGCAGAGGGAAAAGAGAAAAAAAATAAGAAGAAGAAGAAAAGGAAAAGGAAAAGAGAAAAAAAAAAAGTAAAAGATGAAATTACCCTTGTTCGATCGAAGACAATGACGTGCTTTTCCGGCCGTGAAGCATTTGACCGGCCGGCAAAACCCAGGCCCTTACTTGAGACTAATTGCGCACTTGCCCCTATTTGAGACTAATTAGGCACTTTATGCCCTTATTTAACACTATGTCAACTTTGGACCCCTTTTTTAGAAAATGACCCCACTTTGGGTATTGATCTAAAATTTTCCCAAAACCCCAAACTGATACACCTGTGATAATTTTACCCTCCGTTAGTTTCTGTTAAATTTTACTGTGAAATTGCTTTGTTAAATAACACGTGGCAATTAAGGAGTGTACTAATTTATGGTTTTACCATTCGTTTGTCACGGGTGTAATTGTGATTTTTCGCGGTATTAATTCAATTTAAAGGAGGATAAATTTGTCATAAATGTACCAGTTTGAGATTTTTGATGGTCAAAAAATTAGTTTGAGATAAATTTATCATAAATGTACCAGTTTAGAGTTTTTCGTGGTGTTAACCCTAATATCAAATCAAAAAGGTTGAAGCATGCTAACTCTTAGGGGTAAGAGTGAGAGCCTTGAGCTTAAGCTCCCCCTCCTAAGGTCTGACGTGCTAGTCATCACTAAGTCGAAGCGCATTAGTCACCCACTCAGAACCATAACATATGTATCACCAAAGACTTGACAGGGTTCGAAATGCCTCCAATAACTCACATTCCGACTATTCAGAACTATTTCAGATTATGTCAACGGGATCTATTGAGGGTTACTTGAGTTTACTAATTAAAATCGCATGCCTTAAGCTTAACTTTTGTCAAGACCAAGTCGGGCTGTGCCGATCGTGATCGGCGGCGGCGGGCGGCCAACGACAGCGGTGAGTCGAGGGCAACAACGGAATCGACACATCAATATCTGATGGAGAAGATGTGAGATAGGGGCAGACGATCATGGTGCACAAGTGAGCTTTTAACTTAAAGCTCTGTTTATTTCGAGGAAAATGAATGATTTGAAAAATATTTTCCTAAAACTGATCTCTTATATCGCTTACAAAAAAGAACAAACGAAAAATATTTACGTCGTTCATGAAAATATTTAAACATAAATTTATGTGGATGTGAAACATTTTTCATTGACTAATTCTATCGAGCAATATAAAAAATCATTTTTTTTAAAATATTTTTCAAATCATTTATTTTACGAGCATAGGCGTGTGCCCATGCAGCCACATGTTCACTTTGATTTTCGGTCTTCTGGTTATCGACCACGTGCCGAGACTTGGTAGTTGAATTAATACGCAACAACCTGGGCAATGGCTGGCATCGATTCATAGTCACTATTAAATGTGAGAGGGGAGCAGCAGCGTTTGTGCTTTGTTAGTGAGCGCCTGGTTGTATATGGACCTGAGGTTCATTTTGTTTTCGTGACCAGAGTTTGAACTTGCTAGCATATGTCGCAATCCACGATTTATATACCTCAAGGTGACCAATCATGAATGTTCGGTGCGTCGCGATTCTTCGACTAACGTGGTAAAAAAACGGGGATTCGTAGGATGCATTGTCTGCACCCATCTCACGATTCCAATTCCGTACCTTGATTTTCCTCTTGAAGTTTGTACCGACATTAGTTACGTATGACGAGCAAAGCAGAGGCCTTTTGCATCTCTGTGCTCCGCTAGTCTTGGACCGCAGCAACACTAATCAAAAACCAATCGACCACGTGTTTTTCCTCCGAATCATACGTTCGATGGGCGGTGAATATATTGCCATGTACTTGACTTCAACTAATCGATCGATTGGAGGAACGATCCTCAAAACTCGATAGGGAAAAAAAAAATACAGACCTCTTCTTCTATAATATATACCCGCACCACCAACCGAAAGTCCGATCGGAGGTGGAAAATAACGCCCGATTTAGATTTTACGGTGACTCGTATTTTTAACTTTTAATTCAACATTTGTGGAGGCCTATTATTCAATCTAGAATATCCAAAACCCTCAAAAATGTAACAAAACTGTTCATGTACAATTTTTTGCAATCTTTACGATTTTTTTTTAATATATTTCTCTCATTTTTACGATTTGGGAGCAAATTAAGCAAAAGTTACTTTTCCCAAGTCAAAACCAACCCCTTAAAAAAAAAAACTATTTATCATGCACTGGTTCCAAGATCAAAGTTGGTCAATGGGATGGGTTTACTTTGCATTGACACTTTCCATTCCCACGCTAAGTCCCACCAATCAAATTGCTTTTTACCAGCCTCCCTCCTCAGCACGGCAATTTGATTTGTTTTGACATTGGAGGACGAAAGTGAGCGCAAACCTCCAATCAATCCATCAGGTCCCGTGTCACTTTGGTAATAATTGCACCCAAAGAGGGACCTCTCAGTAATCTCCAAGAAAAAATAAAACCATTTTCATAATCAATCATCTTCGAAATATCCAACGGTCTAAAATGTGTAGTGTAGACCGCTACTTGAAGAGCCTAACAGCCACCAATTTGTACTTTTATTAATGAACCCGAAAAATATTATCGGCACCGTCTTTTTTTTTTTTTGGGTCAAATCTCTACGCCGTCTTGATCGCTCAAAAACCTCAACTTGTACAGTGCAGCAACAGCTTGCTCCCAGTTCAGTCCTAAACCCTAGCCTTAGGCGTGTTGTTGAGCTTCGGTTTTGTGAAAAGAGACGTAATCTCAAGACATTATATCGACTAAACCCATCAAATGGGTGAATCGGATAAAAAATACTCCAACTCAAATTGACCCATTTAATCCAAATTGAGCCATTTCCATTCAATACCAATTTAATGACTTATATTGAGACCCGACTCATACGCAATACATACTCAATTCAATCCAAATTTAGGTAAAAGCGTCGAGTGAGCGTGCGCGAGATCGAATAAAGTCGAGAAAGAGTGAAGAGAGACTCATAAATATAGATTGTGTCTAAATAAATTGTGAATTCATTTAACACATATTATTTTTGGCTTTACTATTCTAAACTTCTTTATGACTCATATACATAATATAACTAATACATGTAATATCTCAATTCATCAATTATGCGTTAAGAAAATTGGTCTATGACTCATTTTAACAGGTCTAATATTGACATTGCTGTACTATTACACAAGTGTCATAAGTCTGACTCTGACCTAATTTAGATTGTTTATCAAGCATCTTAAGAAAGTTGAGCAAGTTGAAACTCGGATAGAAGGTGAGACAGCCAGCTAGCAATTGGCTTCAGACAATCATCTACCAATGCATTGGAGGTTACTCTTTTATGGATCATTCAACAAGATTGAATAGCAAATTGACACGTGCGGTGGATTCCATGCAGCATTGAGCTTAAAAATAAATATTATGCAACTGCAATTTAAACCATCAGCGTTTAATTAAAATAATTTAAATCATTGGATCGAATTAAGCAAAATAATATATATATGTGTGTGTACAAAGCTGATTAAGGCAATTATTAAGTAGTTTTATACACTGATTACTGTCATGCTGTAAAAGAAATTACTATTATTGAGATGCTTTTTCCAATTTAAAGACTTAATTATCGCATAGAAAGAGTTACTTTCATAATCATAGAGATATCGAAATTTGTTTTCAATATGAAAGATTACTAATCAAAAGGATTAACTCTTGATTTGATATAGGTTAAAAACTAGATTTCATCGTGAAAACTTACTAATTTTCCATAGGTTAATTACTCTTTTCTAAGAACATTAGTAGGCATGTTGGAAATTACCAAATACCGATGGGTACAATTACTTTTCTAATGCAAAATGGGTCCGGCACAGCAAAGAGGTAAATAAGATGAAAATGAATGTAGGTACCAATATGTGTAAATAAATCCGTACTTTACTTTCACCAAATATAACTAGTTGCAACAAAAGAGATGGTAATTGTATGCACGATAGTTATATGGGCTGGTGCAGTCGGTTGGGGTGTCCGATAATTTCTATCTAAAGTATCAGATGCTGCCTATTTAAATCTTCTAAATTGCGTGCAAACTACTCTCGATCAGAGAATCACCTCAGTAGGTTAAACCATAGACTTAATAGGTTCGTGGGCATTGGACATGTAAAAATGGGTTATAAACTCATTTCTTAACCCATTTATCATTAAATTGGTCATAAATAAATTAGTTATATTTAGTCAATGGGTCATAAATGGGTATAAGTATAATATGGATGTTAAATGGGTCGTAAATGGGTCATAAATGAGTTTTTAACTTATTTAAACTCAATTCCTCTCTCTCGCCCTCCCTCAATCTCGCATTCACTCACCCCGCACTCTTATTTCAGTTTAGGTATAAGTTTTCTAATATTTAGTTAAATATGGAAGTGTTTTAGCAACATGCGTCAGGTCGAGTATGGATTGAGTCGGGTATGGGTGATTAGATTTGCGTTACATGGAAATGGGTCTACTTGAGTCAGATTATTTTCGATCCGACTCATTCGTTTGACAAGTCTAATGGGCATGCATAGTATTCCACGAGCCTTCGACGTACCGGATGTATGCGCTCGTGCCCTTGAACTATGAAAAATAAAATAAAAAATAAAAAATTTGCACGTAGGAGTTATTATTTTCGAGGGGCACCATCCACACACACTCGAAATTCCAAGTCATGGCCAAAAGAGAAAAAGAAAAAAAAATAAAATTCCAGGGCACCGTCTCGAAGCTTTCCTTTTCACTTTAGAGCGAAGACAACGCGCCGCCGTGGCGCGTGGGAGGCATTAATTTCATTTAAAAAAATTCCCTAAAATCTCATATCACGAAAAAAGAAAAATTAAATTATTTTCCTCCCCCTTTAAATATCTCCCTCCCCCTATCTCCCTCCTCCCCAAACCAAAACCAGAAACCGGAAAAGACCAAAAAGCCCCTCCCTCCCTCCCTCCCTCCCTCCCTCTGCGCGAGTCGTCGCTGATGGAGATGGAGCCGAGGACGCCGGAGGTGGCGAAGAAGCTGTGGAGCGTCGTACGGACGGCGGCGTTCATGATGAGGAAGGGCTTGTTCTCCAAGAGCAAGCTCATGGTGGACCTCCAATTCATGCTCAACCGCGGCAAGCTCGCCGGCAAGGCCATCGGCAACCTCATGCTCCACCACTACTACTCCTCCTTCACCTGCCGCTCCGACGACGACGTCGCCTGCATCGCCTCCGCCTCCGCCTACTCCTCCTTCGCCCCTCGCGAGTACGAGTTCAGCTGCAGCAACACCCCCGCCAACAACCCCTTCTTCCCCAAGCGCGGCAAGCACCACCGCCACCGCCACCACCACGGCCGCCGCAGCAGCGGCCACCGCCACCACCTCGCGCCGCGCTACAACGACGCGGGGGCGATCAGCGCCGTCCAGAAGGTGCTGGAGATGCTGAACAGCGCCGACGTCGTGGAGGCGTCGCCCATGCTGCTGCCCGGGTTCGGGAAGAGCCCCGCGGTGCGGCAGCTCCGGATCACGGACTCGCCGTTCCCGCTGAAGGACGACGACGGGGACGGCGGCGAGGTCGACGTGGCGGCGGAGGAGTTCATCAGGAAGTTCTACAAGGACCTGAAGCTGCAGAAAACCATGGCCCCGGTGGAGTCCCCGTATCATTATGGCATGTGGGGCTGAACCGACGGCGGCGGCAGCGGCGACGTTTTCCGACATGGTGCTAGTTTTTCTTCCTTAACGGTCGTGGATCTCCACGAATGTTCTTTCATAAGGGTCGCCGTCGGCCGGGCGGGGGGCATCAAGCATGATTCGGATGCATTTCCACAAGCCCTGATGCGGCAAAAATGCCGAAACATACGAAGATCGGATTACCAAATCGGTTTATGACGGGGGAGAAACGCGACCCCGACCTTACCGGTCGTCCAAAAAAAAACCGTTCGGATGTCCGCTCACGGTTCGCATGGTCTCTCTTCGTAAACCCGCTTTGGTCAACCGATCTACGTATCTTTTTAGCATTAATCGACTCGAAAAATGCTTTCGGACGGCGGCGGCGAGGCTGCTTTGCTTATGTAAAAAAAAACAAAAAAAATTGGGCCATGGCATGGAGCTAGCACTCTCTAAATTGCAACAAGCTTGGAGGAGTTGGTTTTTTTTCCTTCTTTCTAGGCTTTTTCTTCTTTTCTGTCTTTCATTTTTGGCAATTCCTCCCTTGTTGCCTACTGTCGATAATAAAAGGAAAAGGAACCGGAGAGACGTGGATTTCCCCTCTCGAATCTTAGCCTTATTTCCTTCTGGCGATGCCGGAAATGTCGGGTTCGATAATGGACGTGATCATACCGAGCGAAACCGCACGTACCATGCTTATTTCGAGAGAGGCCCGATCGCAATCCGGCACCGGACAGCAACGAGGCAAGTCCCGTGCAGTGGCGGGCGACGGCGACGGCGTCGGGTGCGGTAGTAGCCTATAGAGGTTGGTGAGGAAAAGAAGAGGTGGTGGTGGTTGCGTAACTCTAGTGGTCGAAATTCGGCTGCCTAGTTGGGAGGTCACTTCGGGAAGTGGTACTGAAAAATTAAATGAGGGAGGGAAGGAAGCATGCACGAATACGACGACGTCGTTCATCGGCGGTGGCGAGTCCTGCGAGTTCTCCCCCCACTTCCGTGGATAATTCAGGAACAGAGAATCTGGGTCTGGTCGGAATGATGTTTCTGGATCAGAATTTGCAGGGAAAGATGCTCTGTACTATGTATCATGTATTTTGGTGCGAGGGACTTTTTTTTATTTATGGGTTAATATTACTAAATACGAAAAACTCCAAATTAATATATTCGTGAAACTAATTTAAAATCTCAAAACCGGTACACCTGTGATAAATTTACCCTCTGTCAGTTTCCGTTAAATTTTATCGTCAAATTACTAAGTTGAATGACACATGGCAGTTGATGAATGTACCAGTTTGGGTTTTAACCCTTATGTTTGTCACAAGTTTACCAATTTATGATTTTCCGTGGTATTAATCTAATTTAGATGAGGGTAATTGGGGCTTTAGGTGGTCAAAAAACTAGTTTGTGTTAAATTTGTCACATGTGTACCGGTTTTGAATTTTTTATAGTCAAAATATCAATTTTTGGTAAATTTATCACAAATATACAGATTTTAGATTTTTCGTGGAATTAACCCTTTTTTTTATTGAGTTTTGCATGAGAAATTAATAAGGAGTCTAATTAGGTAGCAGTGGGAATACAGAATTCCGGGTGTGCATCATTTCGAGAGCAAGCACAAAAAACAGAAAAGATAAGATGATTTAATAATAGCCCTATACAACATCTACATTTGCATAGTGCTCCAAATCTCACCAGCATTTTATGAATTTCCATCGATGACATTCATATGATAATATCAGCACTTACGTTACGAAAATATTGCCTTCACACAATTATGGACAATCTCGCTGGCTGCGGCGACCACTCTGATGTCTGAAATACGAAGTTCGAGTTAGATAAGCTGGCGACATTGCTACCATGGTGGAAGAAATCGATTATACATTATATATTCTTAAGTGAAACCCGGCATTTACTTTGCTTCTTTTCTTTTCTTTTAGGTATGATTGTGGTGGTCTACAAATTGAATCAAAGACAATATTATCCCAAGAAAATCATGTTAAGGATTGGGTGAAGTGAACCGCGAGCAAATAGCGGTAGTTGGGCGAACTAATCCGACGAAGCTTTTGAGCAAGAACTTCTAGACAGCTTGTTGCTCAAAGCTTTGATAACTTTCGACTGGTCCCGACTGAAATTGGAAGCATTTTCCACTCTAGCTAAACCCTAAGTAACAGATCTACCTCAATTATGAAGTGAGATGTATTTTCTTTATTCTTTTTTTTTGGCTCGAAATTATGATGTGAGACGACGAATTAGGTTCCGAAAATTATTGTAGAACTTTCTGCAGGTACCATGGTCGTGGGTCATGTGTTACTCCGACAAGGCTGCTAAGCATGTCTCGCTTAGCCACCGTGCCACGCGACCTATAAAAAAAAACGAAGCATGTTTAAGTATGCCTCGCTTATTTCAAAATCTACTGAGAATTTATCGCATTTCTTTTTACATTAATGGCACGACGGAATTTTTTTATAATCAAGCATTAATAACTTAGGCTCAATCATTGAAAATCACGATGATTGGCATCACTTCTTAAACAGCTTGTACAAAGTTTTGTCGATCGCATCACATATGGGTCACTTGCGAAAAGACATTCGTGTACATTCATATCATCAAAATCAAAAGATGCGAGTTACGCAGAAATATTCAAGTTATGATTTGCGATACATGCATATGAAATTAGGCCGCGTTTGGTCATCCGTATTTTTTGTCAGGATAGGATTGGATAGGATAGGATAGGAAATCTGGGGATTTGGCCATATCCTATCCACTATTTGGTGAAGTACGGATTTAAAGTCGGATATTCTCGTATCATATCCTATCCTGCGTTTGGTAGAAACTGTATATCAATATAAAGGACATATATACCCCTACGTGATGCTCATGAAATATTTCGATCTTATTACTATAAAAATAACATTCTCATATACAAATAAACTTGAAAATATGACATTTTATTAGATTTTCAAATTTCTTTGTAAAAAAAAATAAAATGAAAATAGAAACAAATGAGACAAGAAAATTGTCATGATCGTCTTTCTTCGAGCGCTTTTCCGCAAACAAATCATTCTTCAGCTTCTTCTCTTAGGCGGAGGCTTCACCGCACCCGCACCCGCACCCGCACCCATCTTCTTCTTATTAACAGCTAGGCCACCCATTGATCTGCAAAAGCATCAAATACCAAGGTTTACACATAACAACGTCGGAAAAACATCTTAAATGGGATAACAAAGATGGAACTCGAATGTGAAATAGAAAAGCCATCTTTCGACATCAACTGAAGCCGTGAAGAGCGGAGAGACAAGCTCCAAGTTACCAAACCTCAACTCCACCGAACCACAGAGCATCGCAAGCACAAAACAAACAATCGAAACAGCGAGATGGTGGGTTCCTTCATCGTCCGCAATCGCGTTGTTTTTCGAAACAGACAAATCAAACAGAACTGAATCAGCAATTGCAAGGAAGAAGGGCCACCGATTCCTTGCTCCACCACGAACTGGATACGATTCGACGAACACGACGAACGCCATTGACGACGGTGCGAACCGGAGAGGACAAAGTAACAATATCCGAGCCGAAATGAGCAGGAGCAAGCCGACGCGCCTAGAAGAAGAAGAAGAAGCGACGAAGAGGGTCGGAGCTTCTCTAATGTCGCCGGCGAGGTGCGGAAAAGCGCTTCTTCCTAGCAAGCTTCAACAGTATTTCCGCGGACGACCACCTGATCTCCTCCTCCTACGGGTCCTTCCAGTTCAGCATCTCGACGAGCCGCATGGTTGAAGAGCGCGTGAATGAAGGGTAGGGTTTCTAAAAATTTGCTTTTATATGACCGATAGGAGAAATCCTATCCGACCTTATCCTACCCCCTCCCCTCGGATTTTTTTATCCGGGTTATATCCCCTCTATATCCAACATTATACTATCCGGGACACCTATCAAACACGGGATAAGATAAAACATATCCAATCCCGAGTTTTATACGGACGACCAAACGCAGCCTTAGGGTTTGGAGATGCGACAGCTGGCATGCTGCTGATTTCGGTGCTGTTTAGGGTTAAATTAATGTTGCACGTGGAACCACGACAGATTAATAACAAGTGCTTACATTTTTTAATCAGCTGATATTTTGGGAACAGGCATGGAGGTTCTTAGCAAAGATTCTTGCTAAATCTACAGGGGAATCAGTAGTAGTTCAAAGGGAAATAATATCTAGGTGTTGCCATCAATTCCATTAATAATCGCATCAATTATTGGGGTGGATCGTGATCGGCGGCGTTGAAGGGTTCTACTGACTTTGGGGAGGAAATGAATTATTAGCCCTAAAGTTGGACAAAATGATTTTGTGCTGCAATATGAAGGGCGTGCACGATAACTATTTTGTTTCTCTATTTTTCTGATTCCCAGAAACAGGTTTAGAGAGGAAATCCATTTGGTAACATAATTTCATTTTTTTTTAATTTTTGGAACGAATTTTGATTTTAGAAATAGGTTTGAAATAAAAATGAGAAGTAAAAACTTTTCTCATCGCTTGCCTTCGCTACTAGCTGGCCGCCCACCCGTTGCCCTCCATGGGCTGACCGCTGTCTACCGTCCTCCGCCGCCATCTGCCATCCTCCATCACCGCCCGACACTGACCGTCTCCCATCGTCGGCCGTCGGCCGCCTCCTGTCGCCGTTGGTTGCCTCCCGTCGTTGCCCGGAAGGGAGAAATTTTGTGTCATTATCAAACAAATTTCTATTTCGGGAACATAAATTTTATGTCGTTATCAAACGCGTATTTTGGCTTAGAAATTTGTCGAGGGAATAGAAATAAAAAAAATCTATTTCTTGCCAAAAATTGAATTCTGGAACAAAATTGTTGTCATTTGCACCCTAAATGAGTTTTTTCACTATTTATTACGCTTTTTTTTATAATTATTCTTGTAAACAAAACCCTAAACAGATTGGTTTTAGTGGATCGTTCTTTTTTTTTTGGGTCATTTAGGGTATTGGACAATTTAATTCACTAAGTGATGTGAGTGTCTAGTATTTCTCAATGATTTCCGTGCTGCATGCATCTCTTTATACGTTATGTTTTAAATAGCATCATGTCATTGTTTGTAAAATTTAGTGGGACGGTTGTCAATTGCTCTAAAAGTTTGTATGACAATTATCTTGGTTAATAAAGTATTACTTCATCCATTTTACATATTCCCATTACAATACGCCTTAGGGAAATATGCCTTAGGGAAAGACATGGATATCTTTTAGAAGGGAAAATTACTCGATCAGTCCTAAACCTATTGTACGAATGTCAATTCAGTCCTAAGTTTTTCAATTTTGCTAATTTAGTCCTAAATCTTTGCTTGAAATTCCAATATAGTCTCTCTAGCCAATTTTCGCCGAAAAAATCGCTAGCGTGACAGTCCAATCATTACCAGTCGTCCTACGTGGCACACCACCGCATCGGCAAATTCCAGTGAAAATTGGCCGAAATGACTACATTGAAATTTCGTAGAAATATTTACGACTAAATTGGCAAAATTAAAAAATTTATAACTGAATTGATATCGTACGATAAGTTTAGAGCCGATTGGATAATTTTCCGTTTAGTGAAATGTTTGACACAAAAGTTAAAAGGTTAAAATCCTCTTTAGATCTACATCCTATAGAGGCAAAAAAAAAATTGCGAAAATCAGCATGGAGTCTTGGAGAAAAGGACTCAAAATCGAAAGAGTAGGTGTGAAAGGTTGAAAAACTTGTGTGATGCGATTGGTGCTCCATGATTGGACTCGTCTCTCTCAAAGCACATAAAGACGGAGGTCCCCTCACCAAAGCAAATTGAAGCTTTGAGCCAATGCTTATCTTTGACAATAATACTCAACGCATTTTTGCTTTTTCCACAATTTTTATGGCTATGGAAAACAATTAATGAAAAAAAATAAGAAAAAAAATGTTAGAATCAGCAAAGAGACACGTGCCGCGAGTGATCGCTTGATACCGACCGTCCGATTCCGACAGTGGGGCCGTGTCTCATGTCTGGCTCCTTCAATCATTGAGGTTTTCGGTTTCCCCCATTAAACCTGCTCCTCTTCTCTTATTGGTTGAAATTCGATCATTTTT